TGGGGCCTTTTTTTTTTTTTTTTAGTTTAAGTTTTTATTCGGGTCGGGTTAGTGTTTGAAGCGGGTTAGTACGAAAAATTGGTAGATACGGGTAGGTCTTTATAATGGGTTAGATGTTTTAATTTTGGCCAATAAGAAGTTGCCACGTGAAATTTAAATAGTTATTATTTTAAATTCAGCATTGACTTAACGATCAAAGGGTATAAATGAACCAAAAAGGTAGATGGAGGGGTATTTTTAGCCCAATAGGTGGATGAAGAGGTTTTTTTATACCCTTTTCAATAGTTTAGGGGCATATTTAACCCTTTTCCGTTAAATCAATTTGATTAGATTTAACTAATTAACCCAATTATACTAGTCTACAATATTTATTTGGACTAATATATGTTTTATTTTGAGATAAAATCTAATTTTTTTATGAATTTAAATTTAATAAAATTTTAATTGTCTAGATAACCCATTTAAAAACACAAACAATTCGATGATGGTTATCAAAAAGGAACAAAGCAGACCCCAAGCAACAACTAGCAACTGCTACTACTGTTAATCTGAAATCAGTAACAAACATTGACTGTAGTAGAGTTATGACGAAAAGTGGCAAAGGTTTCAAGAATATTGACGCTGACGCACAAAGCAAGAACCTGCACACTACTACTACAACTGTTAATCTGAAATCAGCAACAAACAAAGTTATGAGGAAGAGCGGCAAAGGTTTCAAAAAGACAGATATTGACGCTGGCGCCCAAAGCAAGAACACTGTTACAACATTAACAACAACTAAGCACATAACAGAAGAAATATTAATGAAGAAGAAGAGATCGAGAGTGGTTTTTGAATCAATTAAGTAAAAGGAAATATGAAGATAGGGTCGCAGAGCAAAACAAAGCAAAGAGAAGGACTATAATGGTGGACTTTCACGAGATGCCTAAGCCACCTAAAGATCCCCGTGGTCCCAAGCGCTGCTGGGAAAGGAGAAGGTTTTGAGATATTGTGATTCAATTTCCCCACGAGAATCTTTGTATTGTGATTCACTTGACTATTTTTTTTTAAATTAGTCAGCTCTTGCGTATATTCACTTAGTTTTGTACATGCAAATTTTATCAATCTATTGAAATAATATTAGAGTTACAATTTCACCTATGTTGCTGCAGCTTATGCTTTTAGGATCTGTTATTTCGTTGAATGCCCTGATTATGCCTTACCTAGTTAAGGCTTAGTTGACTATTCAGAATTTGTTTATTGTATTTTTATCATATCTTAGCTGAACTTAGTTTAGTCCTGCTTTGCCATGCACTGTTGGCCTCACCATCTGCTAATCTAGCTAAATTTAGAAGTTTTAATAATTTTGAATAGATAGTATTTGGAATGTGCAATCTGAGCCCTAGTATGTAAGGACTTTGATTTTGTATACTTTAAGCTTTCAGGAAGAGCAATCAGTTGCACAACGTCAACTTTTTTCTTTTTGATATTTTCAAGTAGTATAAGCTACACATTATGCTGGAAAATTTCGACTTGCAACTTGGAAAATTGCAGGATTAAATGGCTTAATTGTATTCATATAGATCTAAACACGCCTTACCCAACCTGATATTGATTTTATGAACAGTATATGTCTTATCTACAATGAGATTCACCTTCTATACCTCTACTGGAACTGAATAAAATGACAAAAATGAAAATCTAGTGCTTAGATCTGATTGTCTGGTGCTGGTTACTACGTTACTGGTTATTCTGTTGCTTCTAATTGAAACAAATATGTCGATGACTCTGTCCAAGAAACTGAAATATGCTCGCCTCCATGGCTTTCGAACGAGCAAGATACAGCAAGGAACAAGAAAACAATCAAGAAATCCCAATGCATTACTCACATAAAACCATTTATCAGGAAATTCATCATTGCTGTCGTTCTCCAGTACTGATATATCGTTTTGAGTTTCCATTTTGGCATAGTAGTAGAAGTGGAGCTCCACAAAGATGGGGATTCCCTCAAAAGCAGACTCTGTAAAAATTGTCATCTGCCCCTTACAAGGAACCATACCGGATAAATTGTTGCTTGAGATGTTAAGATCAAAGCTCGAAGAATGACATTGATTCCATGCTTGATAGGATGACACCAGAAAGCTTATTGCTCGAGAGATCAAACGATGCAACTGATGTTAGCTTGAAATATTTCTGGTATTTGCCCACTGATTTGGTTTCTATAGACAAGTTCAAAACCATGAGGCCATGCAACTTTGTTAATTTCACAGGAAATGCTCCGCAAAGGTTTTTCTCGTCTCTTAACTGATTATTTTTCATGATTAGGTAAAGTAATTTTTTTTCATGATTAGTTAAAGTAACCATAAACCTGTATCAACCTTTAAAGTGTAGGGTGGTCAAATAACAATAAAAGAGATATCCATTCTGTAAAAAGATTTTCCAATTTTGCAACAGCATATGGAACACACACTTCTTTTCCCGAAAGGAAGCATATAAGTCCTATTTGGTTCTTAGAATGAAACAATATCTGAGAGTTCATACAACTTAGTGCCTTCGCGGACCCTAGAACATCATCATATGTACAAAATCTTCCTTAATTTTGATATCTCGCATATAAATCAATTAATTCTCAGTAACACTATGAATAAGTGAAGTGGAAGAGGAAAAAAATATTTTCAAAGATGTTACAAGCTGAACTCCATCTGACCAGTAGCTTTCCCTTAGAACGAGTACAAATGTGACTGCTCATTATAGCTGATCAGTACTAGGAATAACCCCATTGTCGGGTTCCTCTACTGTGTTGGTACTCTCAGTTTGTTCAGTACTGGAAATTACCTCATTTTCCTTGTTAGGCATGTCACCATTTTCTGATATACTTTTAACCTCTGAATTACGAACTGGTTTTGGAAGTTCTCTAGAGGAAGAGGTCGCCAACAGTTGACTAATTCCATCCAAAAGGAGTTTTGGCATCGGCTATAAGAGCAGCTCCACACGGATGCCAAAAACAAGTAACACAGTGTGGGAAAGCAACCTGGAAAAGGTACAGAATTTATATGTTTGAGTCAACAGGTGCGCATATCAATTGTAAATGAAGGTCAAACAAGTTCATATGATGCTACCTCAATACATGCTCGACATAGTGATAGAAAAAGCAAAGTTCCTTCTCATGAATCCATCATTTGGTACATTGTCTATTTTTTTGTTTTGTTTGGTGCCTTAACAGTTGTAGGTAATGAACAAGGGGGAACCTTCGCAAAAGGAGCTTAAGTAGTGAACTGCATTTTATAACACCTTTAACAAGGAGAGTCAAATTAGCATCTTAAATTGTGTGCTGAGACTTTTCAAAGGTGTTTTCGCGCAACATAGGTGCCGTCACATAAAATAGAACGAAAGGAATATAAGAAAGAATCGACAATCATCCTCTGCAACGTATAGTTTTCATTATATTTGAATATACAACAATGAAATTTCTACTTTATCTTATGCCATCAGAACCAAGTCAGTTCTCACGATATGCATTTACCTAATTAAAGCTAGCATTTAAATACTCTTGCTTCTGTTTCAAATTTACCTTTTTAAAAATCCTTTAACGCTAAGCCTTAGTTGACCATTCAGCATTTGTTTATTGTATTTTATCATCTTAGCTAAACCAATTCCAAATGTGCTAAGAAATCTATTACTCTAGTTGTAATATTCCTTCCGTTCCAATTTTGTGTTATTGTTTCACTAGGCAATGAAATTTAGAAAAGAACGAAAAACTTTTAAAATTTACGATCTAAAACAAATCGTAATATATGTATAAGATATAAATTTTTCATTAATATTAAAATATAAATTTCAAATTAAATTATTTTTAAATATCAAAAAATATTATCACATAAATTGAGTCAAAATAAACTTTAATAATAGTGTTCCTTCAAAATTATAGCCTTAAAACGTGATAGGCAAAATTGCTGTTTAATCATTAATGGCAAATATCAGGATATGTAATTGTCGCATAGCTTCAGTCACATCAGAAGCTGTAGTTAGTATTTCTCTTTGGATCTTTTCATTTCTTCAAAGGACAAAACCTCAAGCATAGCCATGTAATTTCCCCTATAATAATCTCATACTCCAATCATCCCAATTGGATAAACCTATTAAATTCCCACCACCACAAAAAACTCAAAATCTCTCCCCACAAAATCCCCCATCAACAAGAAAGCAAAAATAAAAATAAAAATCTCCCCCCCAAAACACTGTAAACCAAAATCACCACCATGACTGCTTCAAGTCCAGCTTCCTTTACATCATCAATTCTCAACATTCCCAATTCCAAAACCCCATCTTTCATTTTAAACCCTAATCCCTTTCCCCAAATCAAAGTCAACAAATCAAGAAACCCTAGAAAAGCAAATGGGTATTTCATTTCTAGGTCTGTAACAGCCGATAACCCCACCACTGTATCCTCTTCATCTGCATTGAACTTAGATGAGGGAGTTGATGAAAAATCTGCTGAAGCAATTGGGAAAGTTGGATCTAGGGTTAGGGTTACGGTTCCGTTGAAAGTGTATCACGTGCCTAAGGTGCCGGAATTGGATTTGGTAAATAGAATTGGAACGTTGAAACAATACGTGGGTTTTCATAAAGGCAAACAAATATCAGCTAATTTGCCTTACAAAGTGGAGTTCGTGGTGGACAATTTGGAAGGGCGAGATGGTCCGGTTAAGTTCTTGGCACACCTTAAGGAAGATGAGTTTGAGTTTCTTGACTGATTTAATTTTAGTTTTGATTTGATAATTTTAGTGCTTTTTAAATGATTACTGTGTTCCACTGAATATATGAGAATAATCATGTGTACAAGTATTATTTTCGTGTATCATTTTGTAGTTCTAATTTTTTTAAATAAAAAAAGATGGTTATTTTGGCTCATTTCATTGGGTTTTCAAAAATTTGTTGTTACCACTATTAAAAAAGATAACATTAGTCGAGTTTCTATTGGAAACAACTTCTCTGCCTTCACTACGTAGAGTTAAGGTCTCCGTACACACTAACTTTTCCAGTCTCCATATATTGGAATATACTAGATTTTTTGTTGTTGTACTATTAAAAAAGATAACACTGTTCTCGATACTTGTGTTGGTGGGAGGTAGCAGGTAATAATCGACGTGTGTGTAAGCTGGCCCCTACACCATGTCATAAAAAGAAAAAGATAAAACATTTTGTTAGCACTGTTAAGAAAGATAAATGTGTGTTAGTCTAAGTAACAATTTGTGAAACAACAGTAGTATATAGAACCAATAATAGATTGTTTGGAATTAATGTTTTGATAGTCTACTCTTGCTTGGATGTTTCTGTTTAGTCCTTTTTCTTTTCTAATTGGTAGCTATTTGATTCTTGGAACGACCAGCAAAAGTATGAAACCCTTGAGATCACTGGTTATTGAATCTCTTGACTTAATATTTAGCGTGCTTATGGTGGAAATATATATCATTTTAAATGGATAACTTTAGTTACAGTGTTTATATGAAATGGTGACTTAAGCATGAAGTGTTGGAAGACTTGAAATGAGTGAGAGTTCCAAACTTGCTGGCAAAAATGTTATGTTTTTTCGTATGTGGGTAGCTTGATTTGGTAGCCATGGTTGTATTTGGAAAGACCTACTAGTAACTTACTAATGTAACAAGTGGTAATCATCAGATGTGAAAGAGCCTCCTTAGCAATTGGACTAGCAGGAAAAATGCTGCATTGCTATCTTTGCTGAATGAATTGGAGCTTGAGGTTCTAGTCTAAGCTGAGGCATGTTATCGCTTTTGAGGAGAGCCAAGAGCGTATGCATGTGTACTTTGATATGTAGATAAATATAAGAGAAGTTGAAGCAGAAAACAAAAACCAAGAAGAAAGAGACTACAATTATTGATTACATATGGTATACTTAAAAACAATTATTGAACATACACCTTCTTAGTGTAAGAGGATTACCTTATTAAAAAACACAGAATAATTTTCTGCAAATCAAGGCAAAGACAGGTGATGCTTGGCTCAGAGGTGTAGAATGACAAGTGCTTCCTGTTAGGGATATGCCCGAGCAAAAAGAAACGGAAAGTAAGCCTGAGGTGCAGAGGCATTTGTCTTTGTTGATGGCATGAGTCATGACTGGTATATGAAATTTCTTGTGTTTGTTTAAAAACTACACTTGCATAAACTAGATAATGATCAATACTTTAACTTCTGTTGATCTTTTATGGCTTATACCATATCTCTGATCAATATTTGACAGTTTATACCATATTTTTCTGTACAAACATATCAAATCATGCTCCATTGTATCACCTACACTTTGGATTTGAGGGAATGCCGTTTGTGCTTACTTGCATTTGTTTTTAGCAAATCAATAGATCTTCATTATACCTTAGCTTCTGCATTTTTCGGCTCTAGAAAGTTGCCAAATTCATGGAGCTTCTTCTCTGCTGTTGGGATCATGGTCTGATAATAAACTATCGACAAATGAAAAATTAATTGGTTCTATTCGCTCTGTTCATAATGCCCAATATGTGGAGGTTGAGGATGGAGAGACAGATATTTGAAGGCGTACAATCATCATGACTTTAATATGATAATAATTGTTTTCCTTAAATAGTAGGATCATATATGTAAGATCAAAATAGCGGCACTGGGGATTGGAAATCTTTTTCCTGTAAGCTAAGCTTTGCTCAAAAGCTCGAATAATTTCATATGCAAGCAACACCTATCTCCAAAAGTTCGTACTATAGCAGATACTAGGTCTAAATCTTTGTCGATAAGTTGATGTATGGTAAAGTTACAATAAATTTGTCTTGAAGTAGCTGTTCATAATGTACTCTCGTTTTTGTTATTGTTAAGGTTGCTGCAAAAAAGCAAAGAATTGATATGTTGGCATAAACTGCTGAAGCTTTAGATGTAGTTTATGATTATATCTTATTAAGATATTCATACTTTTGCCATATGAGCTCTCAGTGGTATATAAGATCCGAATGTGAAAGAACCTGCATCTCATGGTACCTACCAGCTTTTGATTTTTTACTTGGTAGTGTTTCATTATATGCCCTACCTTTGTTCTTGGTGTCTTTTGAAATCAAGATGCTAGATTGCTTCATATATTTTGCAAACTCGTAAAGCATACCTCTTTATTGATGTACAACAACAATAACCCAGTATAATCCCACTAGTGGGGTCTGGGGAGGGTAGTGTGTATGCAGATCTTACCCCTACCCTGGGGTAGAGATGTTGTTTCCGATAGAAACTCGGTTTTCTCCCTCCAAGAACTCTCCACCTTGCTCTTGGGGTGACTCGAACTCACAACCTCTTGGTTGAAAGTGGAGGGTGCTTACTACTAGAGCAACCCACTCTTGTCTTCGACTTTAGACTTGGGGAACTTTTGATCCAACTAGTTTCCAGGTTGAAGTTGTCATGGTTGTAATACAACAATAATTTACATTTCAATCCAAGCTTCCTACAAAAATAGACTATATACCAGATCTCTAACGCGAGATGGTTAAGGACAGAGGAGTCCGTATCATTCCATCACAACCTTTGGTGGTGAAATGCTAGTATACGCGGAGGCTTGAGATTGGCACAAGCAATAATTTGTCTACCTTATACCCATTATACGTTCCATTTTTGGCAAATGATATTCTTATCAAATAAAGTTGTTAATTTAATAGACGGCTGAAAATCTGTCTCGTCTGATGACCGACTATGATCATCCCATTGATAGGTACGAGATATCCATCTTACACTTGAAAAAAAATTGGAATATAGCATAATTGCAAGTTTAATCATTGTGCAACATCTTAAACAAGTTTTTAGTGGCATGAAATTTGTCATATATATATTTGGCAATTTTGGTCCTTCTCCTTAGTTTTTAGACTAGCAGAATTATGAGATATCAAAAGTGGTAAGTTAATTATTGGTTCTTATTCTCCGCTTTGTATAGGTTAACTTGGTTTGTTTCATATTATTTTTTATTTTACTGTGTTCCACATTTGCAAAGAGTTGTAGGCAATTTCCTAGAACCCACCCCTGTTCCAAAAGTAAGTGGGGATGGCACCTATTATTAAAATTTTGATATCTACTACTGTTATGTTTTTTAGTCTTTGATCTTTTACCATTGGTTCGCAACTGTAGGAGGATATTCATATTATGCATTTCTTAATTTCCTTATCTTTGCTTGATTTGAAAACTAAACAATTGAAATAATACCTAATGAGTCAGTCAAGTAACATGTCGTAGGTTTTTCAATGAATGAAGTTGGATAGCTCAAGTAGGGATGAGGTTCCATTTTAGGAATAGAGCCGTAGCTCAAGTTCTTCCAAGTACGCATAAATCGGATGTGTAACAGATCTCTGATCTGAGACGAAATTTTTGGCGATAAAATTCGAGCTTGTGACGTGCGTCTTAGTTGCAAATTATGCACTATGTTCTTACCATTAAACTCAAGTGTTAGGAGCATTGATAAGGTAACCATTTGTCCGAGCTTTTTCCATGGACAGGCAGGCATACATGTCAAAGTTAGGCGTAGCAAGAAAATTGGTATTGGTTTGGGGTTGAGAATTTGCTCGCTCGACAAGAACCATCTTCCCAGTGAATAGGCGAAAGCTTCAAATCTCATAAATATCATTATCCTTCCATTAAATTTTACCTTTCTTCTCCCCTATGAAATGGTAATTGGTATAAGTTGTATTTGGTTTTTCAAATATGTACATTATAAAAGATGAGTTGTATAGGTTGTATCTGATTTTTGATAAGGAGTTTTCTGGAATTGAAGGGTTTAGAAGGGAGAGATCGATTTTATGATCCATTACAAATATTTTTTTAGGCATAACATTTTATATGGAACCAGACATGCAAAAGACATCAATTTGAATTTGTTAATATAAAGATTCTCCTAGAGCGTGCCATGTAAATATTGAATTAAAAATGGTTGAAGTTAGACTGCTAGCTTTTGAAGCTTAATACCATTTGAAGCTTAACATCCTTGCAAGCTTTCGACGTATATCTGATATTGTATAAATGCAGCCACAAATCTATAAATATGAGACGCTATACAAGTATTTACAAGCTTTAGATCATAGTCATCCAATACGTTAAAAATTCATTTAAAATCACATCATTACTATAAAAAGTTCCTTTGTCAATCACTTTAATTCCTCTCGTATTTTGTAAAGCCAGGATTTACAATCGGCGGGACATTGGAACCTGTTCTACTTCTGTTTAATCCTATTAGTATTTGCGCTTCTCCTAATTATAAGGTCACTTTCAAAACTTAAAAACAACATACTATTAATGTTTTCAAAAACTGAACATTGTCCAGCCAAATAAAAAGGAGCTAAACAATTATTTCCTTGTCAGTTGTCATTAGCAGAACTCCATATATAAACATTATAAAATTCGTTCTGACTTTCCGATGATGTTTGGGAGTAATTAGCATAACTGTCACGCACATGTACAAAAACTCTTTCGGAATAGATTGGTGGCATTGACTTTGCCATATAACATTCACATTTCGTCGATACAATTGGTGACAATATCGTAGTGGTATTTTTCAATAGATATTTTAGTCTTGGTGACAAATGATAAACCCATTTTTTAACTAGCTGATCACAACTCAACTTTGATTAGGCAAATGATATACATAGACCAACCAAATGGTTAATTAGACGTGAGCATTTGAGATCAATAAGTGAATTTTGACTTTTAAATTTCTAACATAGAAGGTAAAAAAAATATATATAAATTGTTTTGCGTGGTTGAGTGTATACGGAAGGAATGTTAATCAGGAAACAAAATTGTAAGAGATGATTGAGCCAAATGTAATTTGTAGGTGATCCTATGAATTCTAATAAATCATAAATTATCATAGCTAAAAGTATTTCTATCTAATTTCTTAAATAGTACTCACTCCTATATTGTTGCATTTTAGATGGAGTGACTAAATATTGGATTGATATGAACACAATTACAGTTCCTCTATTTTTTCTTCAAAAATATAATATTTTTTCTTCTTGCATTTCATCTTTACTTACACTTATGGTAGAGAGCATGAATTAAAGTAATTTTGACATTTATTCATGCAAGAGTCTTTGAACTTCTTCGAGATTTTATAAATACCTTATTTATTTGCGTACGTGTTAACTACGATCTTAACTACACGTTTTTACTATGCACGAAATTTTTTCTCTAAAAGATGTTACCCTAAACTTTTTCCGACATCAGTCTACTTGTCTTCCATTTTTTTTAATTTTTTTCAATAAGAAAAAGATTAAAAATTTAAAATAAAAAGGCAAATGAAAACCATGGACGGAACGTTGTATTTTGTCAAATACCTAAAGAAAATAGAATGCCCATATTCTGTTTATGGTAAATTGTTAGTCAACTGATCAGAATTCAGAATTCAGAATTCAGATCCCTTATCTATCAGGCAAATACACAAAATTACACAAATTATACTTACCATATTAGAAAAGATCGGTCCTTTTTCTCCTTTGTTCACGTTTTCTTAATTTGAAGTCAGTTCAATAATTCTTGTCACAAACCCTAAATTCTTGACACTTGCTGATTGCAATTCAACTATCTGTTGGTCCTGATCCTTCAAATAGGTAAAAATCTTTGGCATTCTTTGCTGTATTCATCTGTGTTTTTGAAGATTAACGCTTTCTCTTATTTGTGATTTATGTCAAGATTGTATTTTTTTGTTGCTAATTACTACCCATGATTGGATTTTTGATTTGGAGGTAAAATCTATGTGTTTCACTTTTTTCCTCTGTGGGTTTTGGCTTGTTAGGGTTGTGTTAGGTGGTTGTTCGGTTT